TTCTCCTTGACACAACACACTCTTTCCTGGCTTCCGGGCTATCTTTTTTTATAGTTTCCTTCTGCCTTTCTGACTCTTCTCCTTCCAGTCCTTCACAGGATGTCTAAAGACTTCTCTGTCTAAAGCCCTGTGAGACCTCATCCACAGGCAAATTCAAATCTTGACACAATACACCAATTATATAACACAATGGTAGAGCCCAGAAGGAATGGACAGGGCACAGAATGTGTCCTTTCTAGATAACAAGGACAAATAATACATAAATGTATTAAGTTACTTAGATATACTAGAATAAAATCATCTTAGAAAGTCATGATCCGTCTTCCCTGAGTATTTAAAGGAAGTCACCAGTTGCTAGAGGGTGGAGCTCATGAGGGCCAGTCTGTCCCTGAGAGGATACTTAGAGTTAATGGTTGCTAGAGAGGGAGAGCCATTTTCTTAAGTAATGTCACCACTAGGAAGGTCCTCATGCCCTATAAATTACCCTTTCCATGTTCATGTAAGCAACCCCAATTAAATTCACTGGGCCTCAAAAAGAAAAAGACATGAAAGCAGATGAGAGATGGGCTGGGGAAGAGGATGAGGATCAGGGGAATGGAAGTCAGGAGAGACAACGGAGAGTAAATATGACAAAACATGGCAGTCATGCATGAAAATGTCATACGGAAAACTACTCTTACACGGAATTAATATCTAGTAATTGAGTGAGAAATAAAAGTGTTCCCTCAGAAAGAAAGAAAGATTATGATTATGGTCAGAAACGCAGCATGGTCACTCGAAGCTATAATCCAAATTCTCAGGGACTGAATGGGATCATTATAGATCTGAGGCCAACCTGGGCTACAGAGTGAGACCATGTCTTAAAAAACATCATGGTCAAAATATGAAAGGGGATGTAAATTTAATCAAGGAAGAGTAAGAAAAAACTCCATTTCATTGTGGGTGGGTTGGCAATATTAGCTCTTATTATAATGTCAGACACAAGTGCTAGTTTAAAATTCAATTTAAGCAGGCGAAGAGGTAAACACCTTTAGTCCCAGCTCTCAGAGCAGAAATAGGTGGATCCCTGAGTTCAAAGCCAGCCTGGTCTACACAGGCTGAGTTCTCAGCCAGCAAAGGCTGTATAAAGAAAGACCCTGTTTCAACAAACAAAAGCATTTTCAAAAATCCAATTCTGGCTAATATATAAGGAAGTTAATCATTTTCTAGAATTAAAATCATAGAAATGTGGACTGTGGATTTTCAACTCTAAGAATTATGAAGGGTTATAGAAAGGGTTCAATGGTTTAGAGTACTTACTACTCTTCCAAAAGACCCAAGTTCAGTTCCTAACTCTCACAGGTCACAACGGTCTCTAACTCCAGCCCCAAGTTACCTGACACCATGTTCTGACCTCTGAGAACCAGCACACATACAGCAGTCACACAGACACATACAATAAAAAAAAAAAAAAAAAGTAACAATATACCTTAAAGAGAAAGAATTTATTAGTACAATGGTATACCACTTCAATCACAGCAATAAGGAGACAGAGGCAGGCGGAGCTCTGTGAGTTCAAGACTAGCCTGACCTACAGAACAAATTCCAAGATAGCCAAGGCTACACAGTGATATCTTGTCTCACCATTTAGTCAAAGCACACACACACACACACACACACACACACAAAAAAAAAAAAAATCTTAGAGTTATAGGTTCCTGGCTCTAATAATGTGGACAGGCCCTGTAAGAACCAGCAGCCAGCCAAATGTCACTGACCTACAGAATGGGACATTCTACCAAAAGTGACAAAAATGGCTGGGCTTGCACACAGCTGATAGAGCACCTGCCTAGCATGCATGAAACCAACCACGGGTTCAACAACACAAACTAGGCATGGTCACACATGCCTGAAATCCCAGCAGTACTCAGGGAGTAAAGGCTGGAATACCAATCACAAGTTTAAGGGAATTCTCAGCCTTTGAAAACAGCTTGGGATACATGAGATCCTGACTTTTGAGAAGAAAAAAACAAAAAACAAAAAACAAAGATGACTATCAGGCAAGCAACATGTAAACAACAAACTCAGAAAAAAAAAAAAAAAAAAAAGACAAGCCAGGCAGATGCTGTCACATGCCTTTAATCCCAGCACTCCGGAGGCAGAAGCAGGAGAATCTCTGGAGTTCAAGGCCAGCCTGGTCTACAGAGCTAGTTCCAGGAAGGCTAGAGCTGTTACACAGAGAAACCCTGTCTTGAAAACAAACAAACAAACAAACAAAACAGAAAACTAGTGTAAGGAGGAAACAATGTTCTCCATATCTTATCAGAGTCTTCCACTGAGGGTTAATGAAGGTACATAAATTAAATACAGATACAATTTTTAAAAGTTTAAAGGTTCTTAGCTATGAGCACTGAGGAGTCTAAGGAAACCACTGTTTTTTAACCACAGACGTCTGTACTACTACATTTGTTACCAAATATGTAGATGTTTCATTTTAAAACTATATTTTAACATATATTTCAGAAAAGGCAAAGCAGCAAGGTGTGCCTTTAATTCTAGCACTCAGGAGGCAGTGGCAGGCAACTATATCATATGACCTGGTCTTTAAAAAAAAGTAAAATACTATAATTAATAAAGATCATTGTCAGGCGGTGATGGTGGTGCACACCTTTAGTCCCAGAATTTTAGAGGGTGAGGCAGGCAGATTTCTATGAGTTCGAGGCCAGCCTAGTCTACAGAGCAAGTGCCAGGACAGGATCCTAAGCTACACAGAGAAACCCTGTCTTGGAAAACAAATAAACAAAAAAAATAAATAAAATAAATAAATATATGTACTATATGTATTTATATATATAATTAATAAGAATGGTCAATATTAATGTATATAAGAGTGGGAAAGTTTTCTCTAGCAGAATTGTTATTTTTCTACAATAACATTTGACATATTGAAACATTGAAAAAGCTGGCTAAAGGTCATCATTTTCTTTATGATTCTATTTTATGGTTCATGCACAAAAACCATGCATTCCATTATAATCAGAAATTTAAAGATAAATGATAACCTCAGTAGGGGAGCTAAAGAGATGGCTCAGTCATTAAGAGTGCTTGATGTTCTCCCAGGAACACTGGGGCTCCCAGCATGTATGTTGGGCTGCCCATAACTGAATCTGAAAACTCTGACCTCCCCAGGCACTGGTAAAAATAAGCTAAAAAATAGCCCTGGGTGGGTTCAGTACCAATAAGCCAAGCTGCACTTGGGTGTACCCAGACTCTTCAGAGGAATCACCAGGTTTCAGCTTTACCTCTCTATCCAGTACCTTAAAGGTAGCCACACCAGAGAAAAAGGTGTGAATACTCAAAAAGCAGCCTTTAAGAACAAACAGAAAGGGCTTTCCCCAACATTCAGAGGCACAGGAAGCCAGGGATACAAAGTGAGACCCTGCTTAAAAAAAAAAAAAAAAAAAAAAAATAGCAGAAAATGATGATGTCATCATACACCTAGGAATAATCTAGCTTACCTAAGAAAATGGCAAAAGATGGCTAAAAGCTTCTTAGAGATCTAGGCTCCACTCCCATAAAGTCATTATTCAGCTGTGTTAGTGACATAAGTAAAAAGAGGGTTTTTAAAAGGAAAAAGAACACCTCCTTCAAAACACATGGAGACATCCTTTCTGTCAGAGCCCACTGCCAAATAATGTGGCTTCTTCCAAATCACATCTTCAGCCTCCTCTAGCCAAAAAAAAATACTACAACAACAAAAGCCACTAAAACCTTCAAACTGGTCTTTGTCAATTCTAAGTACCTTTGGTTTCTGATTGATAACAGCCCTGGGTCCCCATAGTCAAGAATAGGATTCTTCTGCCAGATCCACCTACAGATGATAAGGCTGAGTCCATGTTAGCAAAAATCCTGGTGATGTACAGTTGCATTTACCTAAGTGAATTTAATACATCATGATATTTTGAACATTGTGCACTTTGTAAACTTAGAAAAATGCCCATAATAAACTCATCTGCCACCATATGCTCATTCTTAGGGCCTCAACAATCAAAAGTATCAAAGATGCCAAAGAGGAGTTTGGTTAACCTTTTAAAATAGTGCATGCTATCTTACACCTGAACCCTTGAAACAAGGCTACTTCGGCAAAGAAATACAGCTCTACAATGCACCTCAAGACATGTCCCTGGGCATTTTCCCTTTTGGCAATGAAGAATTGCCAAGTTGAAGTGATTCTTCTACACCAAGTGGTTCAGCGTTCAGCTACCACCTCTGCGTAGGCCTTTGCTAGCTTGACCCCATGACCTCACTGGTTCTGATAACAATTCCAGTTCCAGTCTGTTTTTTCCTCAGGAATGCCAATCTCCACTAGCATTTGAAAATACATTTTTCCTGTACACCCTAATCCAAAAACTGAATCTAATGTAAAATTCACTAAGTCAAAAAGCTAGACCAATGAGACACAAACGGCGACAATGAACACTCCTAATGTGATGGTATTATAGGTTACCAAGTGTAACATAATAAGACTCCTGACCCAATTTCCACACAATTTGTTGGTCCAACCCATAACTACTTTACAATGCAGTTGGTAATTACATCACTGTGCTGTGTGGTCATTACATCACCAGCTGGGAGAGGTAAACCCACTAGGCACTGGGCTCTTTTCCGGCTTGCTTTTCCTGAGTGGTTGCAGCACCCAGACGACCTACTCATGGCAGACCCACTGCTTCCAAGGTCTCCCAAAGTTCCAGTTATCTTACGCTAATAGACTTGGCCTGACCTAAGTAAGATAAGGGAGAGAGTTAAGGGCCTAAGACCCCAAAAGCTGCTCTCTGCTTCTAGTCAAGTCCAACTCCCAGAGACTTACTCCCTAGTTTTCCAACTTTGCAGGTCTCTGAAGAACCTTGGAAGAGTCTCAATCAATCTCTCTGTCTCTCAAACACACGCGCACGTACACACCACGAACGCCATTGCGTCCTGGGCATCACAGTTGTGCCCCTCTTGGCTGCCGGGTGACTTACTTGAGGAAGTATCTCTGACCAGTGGCCGTGAAGGTCATCTCCCACCCGGGGGGCAGTGGCAGCTCGTCGGTCACGTCATAGGACTGCTGACGGAGATGCGCGTGCTGTTGTGCAGGGCCTCCAGCGGCGCCCGCACCAGTGCCTAGCTGCAGGGATGCGGGCGACGAGTGCGAGCGGACGTGCTGCGCCCCGCCTGCCAGTCGGGGGCCTGGGTGACCGCCCGATGAGTCGGTGCTGGACTGGCGCGAGTGCGATCCAGAATCGGGCTCCTTGAAGAAGGACTCCGGCAGGATCTTTTTCCGCCAAGAGCTGGGCTTGGGGTTCATGACAGAGTTGAAGAGGGCTTCGAGGTCCGTGTCGAGGTCCTGCGTGACGTGGATGACTTGCTGCCCTGGCGGCGGGAGCCCAGGGGGCACCGAGGACGGATTCATCTTTCTGCAAAGGAAAAGGAAGATCGGCTCAGCCTTTTAGTTCAAGTCAGAAAGGGTCCCGGGGAAGGGCAGAAAAAACGCAGTTAGGTACCGGTGGGGGGAGGGGGCGCCCCTGGCCTCAGAGATTATGCAACTTTCCCGCAGCCAAGAAGCTCCCCTGAGCAGGCAGCGGTGGGAGGAGGTGGAGAGGGTGACTGCATCAGGCCCGGTCGCAACCTCTCCCGAACCACACCACCGCCGATCCCAGGCTCCGGGACCGCGGACGCCGAAGAGCCTAGCTCCCAGGAGGGTGCGGGGCGCGGCGGGCGCTACCTGGGCACGCGGGGAAGCCGAACCTGGGAGCCTCCCGAGCTAGCGAGCTAGAACCCGGCTGGCAGATCCTGAGCGGATTCCCAGAAGCCAAAAGTTTGCACTCTTACATCCCCGGAGCTGGCCCCGGGCGCTCGCACTGCGCGAGGAGGCGACGGAGAAGAAGCAGATGAGCGCAGCCGCCAAGGCTCCCGGACTGTCCCATAAACAAAGTTTGCAGCAAACTCCCACCCCTAGGAAAGAGGCGGGCCGAAAGTGGAGCTTTTGAATTATGCATGACCTCCTGGCCGGAGCCAGCCTGCCCCTCCTCTTCCTCCTCCTCCCACCCCGGTCGGGCCGGCGGGGGTGGGCTGGGCACTTCGCAGCTCGAGAGAGACGGTGCCCCCGCCCCGCCGCGCCGACCTCTCCCGCCGAGCGCTCTATCTGCATTCCTTTGAGTTTACCACTGACTTGGGGCGGGATCAAAGAGAAAATGGCTCAAGCCTGTTAAATCAAGGGGTTATGAACAAAATCCAAGCCTGAGGATAACGGAGGGCATGTAGTCGTTGTTGAGGGACCAGGGGCCAGAAAGGGTAGGTCCAGGGCGCTGTGCCCTGCCTTAAGGGGAGCGTCCCTGCACCCAGATCGCGGCACGGGGCGTGGATCTCCCTGAGGTCGGGCCGGGGCGCACCCTGGCGCAGGGAGACACCCGCGAGGCCAGACTTTCCACGGAAGGCTGGTTAGCGCTTGTGACCATATTTGGTCTGGTGAGGAGGCAACTTGGCGGTTTAGCTTTCAATTGTCTGCAAGAGCGTAGACGGTGTCCAAAAAGTGCCGCAGTTACTGAAGATGCGGCTTCGCCAAATAGTCGGTTGTAAACTACCCACCATCAAGCATTTCATCAATAGTTTCCTCTACGGGGTGAATCCAGGATACTAGGGGTTGAAAAGAAAAAAAAAAAAAAAAGACAAAGCTGAATTCTAGAAGAGCCAAGCAATTGCGCCCCCTTCCCTCCTCCCGAGGCGTCTGAGAGGGTAGTGGGAGGATTGGAATGTCCCTGAGTCCCTCCAGGGAGCCTGGAACTGGGATGGGACCGGGGCAGGTGGCTAGGATAGAGGGTGTGTCAGTGACCCGGAAAAAGCCAACCATCCTCCCCACCGACTGGACCTAGGCCAGAGGTGGAGACCCCGGCTTGCCTTTGGAAAAAGTTCAGGCCTGGAAAGACAGCTGCCGGGAAGAGGGAGGAGGCCTTGCCCTGTCTACTGCCAGCTGCTCAACTCTATTCCTTCTTTCCTTCGGCCTCTCTCCAAGAAAGGATGGCCGCGTTGTTAAGTCAAATTCCAGGAAGCTCCTACTACCCACAGATTCTAATAGATGTTTGTTAATGATAATCTAAATAAGGTAATATATGTAAAATACTTTTCTTAGCCTGGGCTGGGTACAAGTTTGTCAACAGAATTGTATTAAATTCAGGCATTGTGACTCACCTTGTTAAAGAGCAAAATAAAGCCAAAATTAAATCAACAGTTGACAGACCGTGTCACAGAAAAATGAAGAGACCTATGATCTAACAGAAAGTTGAAAGGACATAGGCAAGGCCACTCCATAATTTTCACTTTAAGAGATAGAAGAGTGGATAATGCTATAGCTCAGCTGGTAAAGTCCCTTGCTGGCAAGCCTGACAAACTGAGTTCTATTTCCACGCCCCACCTGGTGGAAGGAGAGAATCAACTTCCATAAGTTGTCCTCTGGCTTCCACATAAGCCCCTCCACACCCCAATAAGAATACTTGTTTTCAAAATTTTGAGTCCACTTCTTGAATAACTGTATCATATTCCAAAGTGAGCTACATGTGCAGTTATCTATACTTGGGCTGGGACCCTTAGCCTCTCACTGGCTGGGCAAAAACAGGGTAGCCTTATATCAAGGCCTCTTGAACTTTTCCACTCATGGCCTCTTTTTGTCTGAAACAATGGCTACCCAACCCCTAACTATATAGGTGTATAAAATATGTACAAATCAAATACTGATAATCATAAATTGATTTTAAAACGATTCCTGGGTGTATATAAAGGATCTTGCCACTCATTGAAGACAATGAACTATGCTTTGGGCTGTGACTATAGCTCAGTGGCAGAACACTTGCCTGGGATCATTCCCTAGTAATAATAAAACGAATATGATTGTTTGTATATAAAAATTAAACTGTCTAATAGCGCAGGCATAGGATATTTTTAACATTTCTCACTTTTCTATAATTGCTAGTCCTGAGACTGTTGTAGTACAAAATGGCAGATGTATCTCTAGGGGCTTTTCAGAAACTGTTGGAAGTTCTATCCTAGTTCCAAGCAAAAAAAACTTCATTTAATAATTTCTTCTTATGAAACTCAAGTCAGAAACTCAGTCGTTTTTAACACCAAACATTCTAGCACAATATAACCCAAAGATACGCTAATATGAGACATACTGAGGAATGATAGTAGAAAAACATTTTCTGTGTTTCTCATAATTAAATCATTGTGTTTCTGTAAAAGCAGAATATTGTGTAACAAGTAAGAACACTGCAATACAAATCTGAGCAGTTGTGTTTCAAGCAGTGTTCCTTGTTTTATGGTGTGGTATTGTATGGTGTGTTGTGTGGTGTGGTATTGTATGGTATGGTGTTGTATGGTATATTGTATGGTGTACCAGCATGCACAGAGCAAAGTACAAGTGGTTCAAACCAAGAGTACAAGAAGTCACAAGATGCCACATAGGCAAGTACTATCAGAAACACAATTCAGATTCATGATGTTTAATATTGAATTAATTTTTGGTTCTGTGTGTGTGCATCCAGAAACTGGATTTTGTTTGTTTGTTTTTTGAGACAAGGCTTCTCTGTGTATGTAGCCCTGGCTGTCGCTCTCTAGACCAGGCTTGCCTTGAACTCAGTGATCTGCCTGTTTCTGCCTTCAAAGTGCTGGGATTAAAGACATTGGCCACCACGGCATCAGAATCCTTCTACAATTGCCAAATTTGGGCTGGAGAGATGGCTCAGCCATTAAAGGCTAGGCTCACAGCCAAAAATACAATTGCCAAATTTTTCCTGACCCCTGCTCCACAATGAATTACACAAGCCATATGAGATCACAACCCAGAGACTAAGAAGCACCTAGATAGCCTCCCAAGATAAGCATAGTTGGTTGCTTCTAGGCATCCAAAACTCTTGTTCTCCATGTAGCCAAGTCCTCTCTCTACTCACAGGACTGATAAGAAGGGGGGGAAGCATCTGAGGCTCACTCCATTAGAAGTGGAATCTTTGCAAAAAGGAAGGAGTTAACTGTGGAGCTAGAGAAAATGCCTGGGATGGGAAGGTTACTAACTCAGAAGCTTCAGGGCTGACGAGATGATGCTTGAGATCGGTCCCATTCCAAGAAGGTTCTTTTTTTTTTTTTTCTACTTATCTATTTATACTTGTTATGAGCTTTGGTGTTTTGCCATGGGTGTCAGTTCCCTTGGAACTGGAGTTACAGACAGTTGTGAGTTGCTATGTGGGTGCTGGCAATTGAACCTGGGACATCTGGAAGAGTAGTCAGTGCTCTTAACCACTGAGCCATCTTTCCAGCCCCTCCAGGAAGGTTCTTATCTCAGAAAAATGTGAATCTGGGTTGCAATTGGATGTAGCCTTTATTCCTTGCCGAGCCTCAATAGACAGCACTGAACACAGGTCTAAGTGCCTGAAATGGTTGCTAACTCAAAAGCTTCACATTCCAACACAGACACTATCATCATAAGACAGGCACCATGGCATACATTGTAGTCCAAATGATGGCACAGCTAAGGCAGGAGAACATATCGCTTGGTGTTAGTCGTTCGAGGCCAGCCTGGCTAGCATAAGGAGACCCTGTCTTAATGAACAAATAAGCAAACACAAACCTGATAGATGTTTCAGTAAGATTTGCTGTTATCCCAACCCTTCCAACAATAATAGCTTAAATGATAGCTATCAAGTCAAGGTATTACCCATAAAGAGTAGCATGGTGTTGTCCATGGGCTGGCTGGTTTATTTGTTGTTTGTTTTTAACTTGACAAAATCTAGAGTTATTATAGAAGAGGGGACTTCAATTGAGGAAATGTCCCCACCAGATTGGCCTGAAGGCAAGACCTGACTGATGCTTGATCTGGGAGGGCCCATCTCACTCACATCAGGCAGTGCCACTCCTAGACTGGTGATCCTGAGTGATATGAGACACCACTCTGAACACAGCATGAAGAGCCAGCCAATAAGCAGCACTCCCCCAGGGCCTCTCCATCAGTTCCTGCCTCCAGGTTCCTGCCTTGAGTTCCTGTCCTGTCTTCCCTGGATGATGAACTACAAGTTGTAAGGCGAAATAAACCCTCTCCTCCCCAAGTAACTTCAGTCATAGTGCCTCATCGGGACAACAGAAACCCTAAAACAGTTTAATTCTTTTGGCTGGGCACAGTGATGCACACCTTTAATTCAAAGCTACACAAAGAAACCCTGTCTTAAGGAAAAAAAAAAAAAAAAGCAAAATTACTCGTCACCCAAGTCACTTCAAACACTTAAGCACTCTATACTCTAGTCCTCTGTTTCCTCCTTTGTAATTTCAAGAAAGTAATAGTACCTGCTTCAAAAAAAAAAAAAAACAAAAAAAAACAAACAAACAAAAAAAAACAAAAAACCCTCCACAAGAGCAAGCAGGCCCAAATCCATGCATGGATGGGAGAAGGGCTCAGGAAGTCTTATCCCTAGCTGAGGCACTATTGACAGTTGATGGCTGCAGGGGAGGAAGAGAGTTTTCTTTATGGATGTGGTACCTAGGAGGTTTTAATGGACAGTCCCACCCATGTACGTGCAGGAAGCACAAAGTGGAATCAGTGGGTTTAAAAGGAAAGGATATGAAGTTGGGAGGGGAAAAGGAAGGAACTGGAGATGAGGGAATTGGGGGTGGATTTAATCGAAGCACATTGTATGCAAGTTTGGAATTCTCAAATAACAAGAAATAAGCAAAGTTTAAAGGTATTCCTCAGTTGATAGAACGTTCACCTCTGACTCAGCTCCCCACTACCACATAAACCCAGCTTAGCAGGTCAGAACTGTAGTACTGGGACTGGGGAGGTGGAGGCAGGAAAGTCAGAAGTCAAAGGTCATCTTCAGCTGTGTCATGAGTTGCCTGAGTTCCATGAAACTCTGTCTAAAAATAAGAGATCCCTCAGGAACAGTGACTCATTCCTCCAATCCTAACACTTGGGAGGCTGAGGCAGTGGATTGCCAAGACTTCTAGACTAGTCTGGGTTGCAGAATGAGACAGTCTCAAACAATAGAAGCAAAATTTTAAATGAAAGCAATTAACAAATTTTGTCTCTTGGCCCATCGTTATAATACAAGCTTTGATATTTACCTGGCAGGGGAGATACCATGGTCACGAAGGTGGTTTTCCCAGAAGGAGGCTTATCCACTGCAGTCTGGATGTGCTGACCCT